GCTGACTTGAAGGTATAAATTGTCCCCAGATCTGAAATAGTTGTGGGTGAGGACAAAGTCACAAAGTTCAGCCACCAGGTTTACCGTGATGGTATCGGGGATGCTATTCCTGATGGCTTGTAGTCCATCTTTGTGTGGAATGTTGGCGTAGAGAGCTTCTACATCCATAGTGGCCAGGATGGTGTTTTTTGGAAGATCACCAAAGGATTGTAGTTTTCTCAGGAAGTCAGTGGTGTCTCGAAGATAGCTGGGAGTGCTGGTAGCATAGGGCCTGAGGCAGATAATCCTGCTGTCAGGATGCCAATCCCTGAGATGATGGAGCATCCAGGATTCCCAGATTTATGGATTTTGGGTAGCAGGTAGAATACCCCTGGTCAGGGCTCTAGGGGTGTGTCAGTGTAGATTTGTTCCTGTGTTTCTTTAGGGAGTTTCTTGAGCAGATGATGTAGTTTCTTTTGGTAATCCTCAGTGGGGTCAGAGGGTAATAGCCTGTATGATATGGGCTCAATTTGAACCAATGACTTTCCAATGGAAGACTTTATAATCCATTACATAGCCCAACAAGCCACCTAGTCAACCCAAAAGCATGCATGATTACTAATATATAGTTCTACTTCTATCTGTATACTGGACAGGCCAAAAAAATAAGAGCAGTGGTGTTGTTCTTTATTTGCTCATGCAAACTAAACATGCATCGTAAAAAGTTTCAGTGGCTGGACAAATATGTTTGATGGCACTTGCAGGAATTCTGATCCTTGACTTTACAGTGTCAATTTTTACACTATAGTATTAAAAGAAGTGTTACCCAGGCTGACACCATCATGTGTTCTGTCTAGCTTCATCCACTATTCAGAGCCAACTCAGTTTCAGAGGGGGAAAGTGCAAATTCCAGCACCTGGGCCTTCTATAAATTATGAAAAGTTAATATAGGCAAAGAAGGTATTCAGATTAGCTATTTTAGAAATCAAATCTGAGGAATACAGATCTTTGTAAGAGGTTATGAATTGCTCAATTGCTCTAGCTTCAGTAACTTTATAAAAAGTGTCTTGTGTTCCAAATATTCTCTAATTTCCAATGGTAGGAACCCTTTGAATACGGGAACCTGAGAATGAGGAGTTTCTATATTAGGCATTTGTTAGATGCCATCTGAACTACAGAATTAGTCAGTATGGCTCAAAATATATTTCTTGGAGATGATGCAGTGTAGGGCAACCAAGATCAGACAGAGTAAAATGTGAAGGGAGCTGGGTTATTTTCATAGGGAAAAACAGTTTTTGAAATGATACAGGTTATAAAAAGGATTGTTACATCTGGCAGGTATTTTTTCACAACAGATAAGACACTCAAAACCTAACAATAAAAACAGGAGACTAGGAGTAAATAGGAATCTCAGGGCAGAATGGTTTCATGCAAAGGATAATAATGTGGAAAGAGTTTCCAAGGGAAGCAATTGAAGCAAAAAGTGTTAATGAATTCAAGAGAAACTTAGATTTATTCTGGAGAAGGAGGGGATTGAGAGACATGCTGAAAAAGCCAGCAGGTTAAATGAAGCAGATTTTGTTTTTAAAGGCAAGTGTGTTGAACTCAGTTGGCCTTTTCCTGTTCCTAAAAGGACTTGAGCTGGATCATCAGCTACATTGATGTCAATGGAGCCAATTACAACAGTTGAGGATCTAGCCCCTTATGTTTTTGTCTTCACCCCAAAACAGATTGGAAACACCCAGAGTTAATCAACTGTTGTACCAGCACTATAGTAGCATTAAAACCAGAACCAGCTAAATTAAAGAAATGTATTCCTACCCTGATGGTGATATAGACTTTTTAGAAAAGATTCCTATCTGTTTTAAAAAAAAAGTGTGTGTTGCTTTAACCCTAGGGATCAATCAGTCTGTCTGTTTATAGAAAGCCCTGAGTCTATATTTGTGGGGTGAGTGGGTGTGTAACATACAAATTTTTAGCCCAGGAAGGCTCATCAAGAGTCAGCTGAAATGCTTAAACCAGTTAAATCAGCCACGATTAAATATGATGGATACAAGGATACCCGTTATTCATCACCATCAAGTGTTTTTCATTTTGACATCAACACAAGGCTTAGTACTAATGTGTTTGCTTTGCTGTTGTCTGGATTCTTTGATATATCCCCGAAAGCAAAGTTAAGCCATTTCTTTGTTGTTATTTGGAAGGATGCTACTGGGGGGAAAAATTGCAAAGTCTTGTGGGTTTAAAGTCCTTTTTATGTGCAGATTGAACCAATAGACCTCTAACTACCAAATTTTTGCATGCACAGCTGTTTGCATATGCAAATATTGCTGGCACGATCTCACCGGCTCGCTGAAAATTTGCCCCTTAAATTCACAGGTTTTTAAGAGATAAAACAATCCTTAAATCTGAAGGAGGGGCTTCTATCAACTCTTGTTTTCTTTTGCTACACAAGCATGTCAGCAATTTAAATATGAATAACATTTTTGGCTTGTAAATGACTCTGCATTTCACTAAGCACTTGCAAGACGTGGTTGGCACAAGTTGAATCTTTATTATTGTGATTATTTTTTTAAAAATGGGTTTTAAAGGAAATCAGACTCCTCTCAGATCCTAATAGAATTCAATGGGTGGCCTGAATCTGGTTTGTTTTAGAGAGCTACCACCCATGGTGTTGAGCAGGATCAAATATCCCTAGTGGTCCATGAGACAGCAGTTTTCATTCAAGAAAGAAAACTCTCATCAGCTCAGGGTTAGTGGATCAGACTTTGATTGCATGACTTGGATGGGCTTTTTCCTTCCATCTCTCTTCCCACTCCCACCCTTGTCTGTGTTAATCTCCATCCTGGCTAAGGGTTTTATGCAGAACAGCTGCTGAAAGTTTCTGATGAATAAAGCAAATTTGTCATTAGGTTTTGTCATTAGTTAAATCTACGACTGAATGGAAGTAGGTTCTATATTCCTACCTTAACAGGAAATACATAGTGCTGCAGTTGAGGACATTTGATATACATGCTGGTTGAACTCTCAGGGCCCATTTTGATCTCACTTACACAGCATAAATCAGGAGTCAGTGGAGTTACACTGATGTAAAACTAGTTTAGAGGGTGTAGAACCAAGCTTTAGTGCTCTCAGTTCATACAAAGTTACACAGTGTACGTCAGGGTGACCTGGAGTCTGTTTCCACATCTGCCACTGCCTTACTATCTGGCCTGGGTCAACTCACTTCACCTCTCTGTGCTCAGTGTGGTCAACTCTCACAATTTTTAATCACAGGTCTCTCAGTGTTCAGGGTTTTCCTTAAAGCCCCAATGTTGAGGGCCCTTTGATTATGGGGGAATCTGTTTTCTTTTCTTGTTTTCTTTTTTTCTAAAGCAGGTTCTATTCCCCACTATTTCAGAGAAAAGCTTGACAATGTGACTTCAAAAAGCTCCAAAAAGACACAGAAAATAAAGAGAACCCCAAATGTATTATTTTTAAAACCTCCTGATTTACAAGCTAAACTTATGAGTTAGGACCTCCAGAATCATAACTTTTGAAGACGTGGCATTGGCAATAGTGATGCCTCCATTTCCACTTCCACCCTCTGTTTATCTTGTCTCTTTAGAATGTAAGCGCTTTGAGACAGGGACTGTCTCTGGCTATGATTTTGTACAGTGCCTAGCACAATAGGGTTTCAGTTTCACTTGAGGCATCCAGACGCCACCAAAAAACAAACACTAACTAATTATAGAGGTTCATTCCATTTTAAAAGATACTACCCATTTGAGAGAGAGTCCCGAAACTTAAAATGGTGAATATTGCTGGAATCACTCTAAAAACTATATTAGTATTTTAAAGTGCAATTACTGTAGCAGTTTAGCAGTGCCTCAAGCCTCTCAGTTATCCCCAATTTATATCATTTTTGTGAGATAGTTTGTAAGAAGCAAAATTTGATGTTAAAATTTGAATGAATAAAAATATGTACCACCTTATTGTACCACATTATTGTGCAGTGTTGTTAAAAGGTGGGATAAATAATTTTTAGAAAATCTGGTAATTATTTTAAAATGTGACCTGTAATAAAGACTGGAAAATATAAAAGGTTTAGAAAGCCTTTGTAGTTATTACCAGTATAGGCCATGGACTGGAGTCCTGCTCTTTGTGTGAATTGATTTACTTAAGTAATGGTAGCGTTAAAGATTTCCGTGTAAGAGAGTTTAAACAAATTGTATTTTACATTCCAGTTGTGAAGGTACCTTTTTCTTTAAAATCAATTGAATCATTCTCAATGTTTCAGTTCTTTATGGTATAGGACGTGATCCTGATCCCTCTTAAATCAGTGGAGAATCAGACCCATAATTTGCTGCTGATTGGTCTTCAGGAATCACCAGATTCATTGTCCAATACAGACAAATGAAAGAGAGCTTTCATACTGAAACCAGTCCAAAAAGTGCAGCTAGCTGTTCTCACATGCTACACCTGCCCCACACTCTAAGGCATGTATAACTAATCTAGCTAGCTAGCTCCTGTTTAGCTAAGGTACTTACCTGGCCTCCAGTGCCATAGTATCTGAGTACCAAACAACCTTTAATGTATTTATCCTCACTATTCCCCGGGACATAAGGCAGTGCTATTATCCCCTTTTTACAGGTGGGTAACTGAGGCACAGAGAAGCTAAGGGCTTGCCCAAGATCACACAGGAAGTCTGTGACAGAGTGGAGACCCCACTTTTCCAAGTCCTAGACTAGTGCCCTATCCTTTGGACCATTCTGCCTCTTCCATCAGCAACCTGTTGCAGCAGGGTTGAGAATGAAATTAACCTGCATGTAATCACAATAGCCACATAAGATGTTTAACCCCTGATTTTCATAACTTTACTTCTTTATTTAAACAAAATCTGCAGGCCCAAAATGTGAGGAAACTGTGTAATTTACTTGTCATTCTGTCTCTCTCTTTAAACATAACTCTTAAATCCTTGCGAAAGTGTTTTCACACAGACTTGCTGAGACCTTCGCTTCTGTATTTCTCTGTTGCTCCAGGATACTCCTTCAGCCAGATGACTCTTTGCAGATTCTAGCACCAGTGGAAGCTGATGTGGGTTTCTACACCTGCAATGCAACTAATGCTTTGGGATCTGACTCTGTCTCCATTGCGGTCACTTTAGCAGGTAACGGAAAAGTTATATCATTATACAGAACTCTTTCTGCTACTGGTATGTTATCAAGTACAGATGGGTACGTGCATTCAGATATTATGTAACTAAAACACAAATTGCAAAATCCTAAAAACAATAATAAAAGTCTCCAAAGCTCACCAAAATAATCCCCAAACTCTCCCTCAACCCCCACCTAACAATTTATCCCTCCCTTCCAGAAAAACCCTGGAAAGACAAATAGGCTTTGCAGCGTGGTCTGAAGATCAGCAGGTTCCAGCTATAGCAAACTGAGACTGGAAATGCATTCCACAGTTCTACAAGTTCCCACACCCAGAGCACCCTGCCGCTAGCTCCTCTTCCCCATGTGCATAATTAAACTTGGGGGTGGCAGCCTGAGCAGCTTGGACAATCTCAACTACCCTGGGAACACCAGAGGAGACAGGCAGTCTCTGTGGTGCTTAGGCCCCAAAACATTTCCTCCTTCCAAACCTTGTGTGACTAAAAACATGGAATCTCTTAAGCCGAATGTCAAAATGGACAACATAAGTTATTCCCTCTCGTGTCTGTATGGAAATAACGTCAATCCACTTTGTTCCACTGGAAATTGCTCTGTTAGCTGGGGTGCCCCAGTGAATGAGCTAGATTTGAGGGAAGATATAAGTTGAGGCCGGACAGATAATATCCAGGATTTTGGACAGCCGCAGGCCACGTCCCAGGCTCAAGCTTCAAATTATGTAGAGAGCTTTCATTTATAAAATATGTGCATTTTCAGTGACTATTTCAAATCATCAGTGGTTTTCTCACCACCCTTGTACAGCATGCATCCTGTGGGGCTCTTGTTACTATTGGCTCCATCCTGTAGTCGCTGAGCACTCTAGTCCCAACCCAGCGAAGCACATAAACCATGACTTTAAACCTTGTTGAACGGTCTTGTTGAAGTCAAGGGGAATGTTCAAGTAGATAAAGTTAAGCAAGTGCTTAAGTGCTTCGCTGGGTTGGGACCAGAGCGCTCGGCACTTTTCAGAAGCAAGCCCTATGTCCTTTCTAACCTGTTCTCACCAAAGCATGACTGACATTCTTCCACCCACTGAGAAATAAAGATTCATAAAGGATTAACTTTCTGTTTCATATGTATCCAGTAATGGTTCAGTTCCACACCAGACTAAATATTCTTTGTTCATTTAGGCATCAATACTAATAAAAACCTCCCTGGGGAAAAACAAGAGAATTGTAAGATTGTGCTTGTCTCCGCAGAGGGTTCCAGCAGGTTCAGAGCCACAGCAGGAGGAGGAGGAGAAAGCCAAAGCAGCAAGAGGGTGAATGGGGAATGGATGCAAAGGATGGGGAGTGGGGAGTAGGAAGGAGGGACAGTCAAAGCTCAGGGGTTATAACAAGACAGAGGTCAAGGGGAAGCAGAATGTGTTTTTTAATGGGAGAGAGGGGGGCCGAAGAAAACATATTAGTAAAACTACCAATAAGTAGTTTGAAATTCCATATCTGACAGTATAGCTCACTCGTGTTTCACTGCTGCAGCTCCCCAGTATGTGTCTATGTAAGTAATAATATTCAGCGGTGGGTGTGCTGACTAGAGAGGCACAAGTGCATCATTGGACTTGTGAGTGAGCGTTTCAACACAGAACACGGGCTGACTCTAGAGCAAGGGAGCACTAGGAGAGACATGGCCTGGGCTGAAAGCAGCTCTTTTATTTAATTAATAAGATTGGTTGAAAAGACACCCCACCTACCCCATGGAGTAGAAGCAGCTGGATCCCTTGCAGGGACAAGGGAAGAGCTAAATCAGAACTAAAATAATATTTTAATTAAACATTTAAAGTTAGCAAAAACAAAGGGCCTGATTTTACTCTCATCTACTCCTATGTAAATCTGGAGTTATGCCACTGTAAAACTGGTGCAAGGCCCTAAATTTTGTATTGATACTATATTATAAAATATTAGACAAAGTTCATGCTTAGTGTAATTCTAGAGTTACATCAGAGATGAATTTAACATGCAATTTTAAAATGGCATCTTTAGGAAGTTGCATAGTGATAAAGAGGTTTTACAGTCCTTATAGTCCTGATGGGTGAATTCCTTGTGGGATAATTAGGAAGCCTCTATGGTTAAATCAGTTTTCATCCCAGGCAATTTATGGAGACAAATGGATCTCAAGCTATAGTAGTGTCCACACAGACTCTGACATGCATGCGGGATTTTACAGACCCAGCAGCTCTTTTGAGGTAATGAATTATTCAAGACTTCGGTCAACTTTCTGAGGTGAATTATCAACTGCAGACTTCCTGGACGTGATCTTGGTGGCCCCTGAGCTCCTCCTGTAAGGTGCTGTGCATCTTCATCTTCCGCCAGCACTTTGCAAGATGATCCCCAGTTGTACGGATGAGATAATGGGCAGTTTTTGAAACAACGCAACAAAACTTTTTGGCACAAAAGAAGTGTTTTCCCAAATGCATTGGAGGCCAGAGAGCTTCTTCAGAGGAACTGGGAAATGTGGGGAAAGCTTATCTCATTAAAAATGAAGGACTTGGCCTCACTGATGAATTTAGCATGTGCAGAGAGACACTGAAAATGTGCTTCCATTTTTGGAGTGGTTTGCTACTTTTTATTGGTTGAACAGTTGACAGATTTTTAATCTAATGAAGAGATCATGAAACCCCCACTGGGAAAATAAAAGCTGAGTTGCTATTTGAGGTCTCTTTACTTCTTTTATGATTTAGTAGTTACATTAAAACATCAGAACTTTGTGAGCATTTCATCAGTGAAGCGAAACATTTGTTGCTGGATATTCCATTCACATGATAGACACGGTAGGTTGATGGATAGATGGATTGATACACTAGCAACTCCATATAAAAAGTGCTTTTAACAGTCCTGGAAATACTCTAAATCCACATGGCAGTTTATGGATTTTAATTAGGGGCAATTGAAACAGTTTGAGCAAAATCATCCATCCAACCAAAACAAGCGGAACTCTTTCTCCCCCCCCTTTCTTACCTCCACTCAGGCTTTTTAGGCCAGTTTCCTCCTCTGCTGCCATTGCAGATTTACAGCCAGCTTAAGTCATAAGTAATATAGGCACAAGCCTAAGGCCCTGGCCCCTGAAGTTGCATGATGTTGTCACAATCTAAGCTTTCATTTATAAAAACATTTCCAGCCCTTATGGTGGTGAAGATGAGTTGGAAAATGTAAGTCAGGTATAACTGAGGCAATGTCATCTGCCTGAGCATGCAGACAGCCCAAAAAATAGCTTTGAGAGGTTTGAAATTTCCATTTTAACGGGTCGTTAACTTTGAACCCCACAGCTCGGTCCCTTACTGCCATCACCCAAGAGGGATGGATTTTGCTGTTACCATCCTGTCATGGATCTACGGAAGTGTCAACAGGGACCACACAGACACTCCCTCCCCTCATCTGTTTGGTTGGGGGAGTTCTCCCTCCACTAAGATGGACCCAGGCCTCCTGAAAACAGAGAGAGGAGGCCCAGCCCGTGTAACATGTAGCAGTGGTGGGCCCCCATCAGACGGCCGTTGTATGGGTGGCCACTGCAATCCCCAAAGCAGTGGGCCAAAATACAGGGCCAAGGCTCCACATGCTGCTGTGTCTAGAGCCCCAGATTGCCTAAACCTGGCACTGACCCATACACCATACCAACTCCAAGTCCCATTTAATGCAGAGACACATGCTGCTGCTTCCCTGCACTCATGTCACTGTCATACAGCTCTCACGCCGCTACCGTGTTTCCCCGAAAGTAAGACATCCCCCGAAAATAAGACCTACTTCCAGTTTTGCCTCTCGCTGTAATATAAGGCATCCCCCGAAAATAAGACCTCCCGGATAATAAGGCCACCCCGGAATATTAGGCCCCGAAGCTCCAGGAAAAATAAGACCTCCCCTGAAAATAAGACCTAGCGCATCTTTGGGAGCAAAAATTAATATAAGACACTGTCTTATTTTCGGGGAAACAGGGTACTCTCAAACACACCTATGGCCCCATGCACACATCAATACACACACTTCCCCTGCTGCCCCTCCACCCTCACGGTCATGCTGTTGTACCAACCCTCACACCATCACACACACCGCACTCCCCTCCACCACCGGTTGCTCCCAGGCCACTCTTACAGTCACACTACTAGCTGCCATTGCATCTTAGTCCCTGTTGGGCCCAGCTTTCTACGTGCTGGGCTTGCTGCATAGGCTGCCCTTCTCTCTCTTCTGCCAGCTGCCCTCTGTTTGCATTTAGGGTGCCACCATGTCATACGTTACGAGAATGTCCCAGAGCAACATAATGCACAACGCCATAGTTAAACAGAAGGGCAGCAGTCAAGGGCTAGCACCTTTGACTGTCAGTTTTTGGCACATTTACCTCGCTCCCGTGCAGAACTACTGATGTCTCGCTTCTGTTATTATCAATTATTTTGTGCACCTAAAATGGAGTTTATGGAAAATATGACTGAAGTTAAAGAAATGGATCACATGTTGTTCTAAGCCTCCTACACTGCTAAAGAGCCTGTATCCACCCTTTGGGGGCTTTGTCCTATGTTTGGTCCTTGGCAAGGGGCACTGTCTGCCTTGCAATATCAGGTGAACAGCTTGCTGCAGCTCCAGTTGCATTGCTGTTTATTGGTTCAGCTGGTTCTCAGATGTGCTGGCATGACTTTAATGCTATTCATTCACTGCTTTAAGGGATTTTTTTCAAAGCAACATCAACTATGAAATTGAGCAACTCCTGCATAATATAGTAAAGCCCAAGAGCAGGTTGCCTGCATCACTCATACGCCAGCATCATATGCTGGCAGGCAGCTGTCCTACATCAGCCATTTGTATTTCTGTACCAATCATATTGTTCACAGTCTTCCCTTTGTGACTACCATGTACTTTGCTTTGTGAACCATGGTACAGGAAAACCACTGATCAAGGCATCGAGAGCTACGCTGATCAACACAGAGTCCTCCGCTGTGACGGTTGACATTGGAAGCACAGTGAAAACAATCCAAGGTGCAAATGTTACCATTAGCTGCCAAGTTGCAGGTGAGAGACAGCTCGGTCCTTATAGCTAGCAGGTACCAAGTGTGTTTTTAGCTATAGATTTCCTCTGAAGTTCCTTGGCATGTCTGTGTCTGTGCACAGGTGCCATTGTTTCAGATTGTTGGGTCTCAGGCAAAAATTTTCTTTGCTTTCATACTATGGGAGCATTGGAGTTGTCATCCCATGTGAGATCAGTGGTCCATTTACCCTGGTATTCTGTCTCCAATAGTGGTCAATAACAACTACTTCAGATGAAAGTGTAAAATCCCTGTAATGGAGAATTGGTGGGCATCCTGGAACTATTCAATATTTTCATTAATGACTTGGATAATGGAGTGGAGAGTATGCTTATAAAATGTGCAGGTGACACTATGCTGAGAAGGGTTGCTAGCACTTTGGGGGATATTATTAGAATCCAAAGTAATCTTAACAAATTGTAGAACTGCTCCGAAATCAACAAGATGAAATTTAATAAAGACAAGTTCAAATTTTACACTTGGGCAAGAAAAATCAAATGCACAACTACAAAATGGGATTAACTGGCTAGGCAATAGTACTGCTGAAAAGGATCTGGGGTTATGGAGGATCCCAAATTGAATATGAGTCAACAACTTGATGTAGTTGCGAAAAAGACGAATATCATTCTTGGGTGTATTAACAGGAGTGTCATATGTAAGACATGGAAGGTAGTTGTCCTGCTATTCTTGGAAGTGGTGAGACCTCAGACTGGAGTACAGTGTCCAGTTCTGGGTGGAACACTAAGTCCAGAGTAGATCAACAAAAATGATAAAAGGCTTAGAAAATCTGACCGATGAGGAAAAGTTGAAAAAACTGGGTATATTTAGTCTTGAGAAAAGAAGACGGGGCGGAGGGGGGACTTGATAAGTTATTCAAATATTTTCAGGATTGTTATAAAGAGGATGGTGATCAATTGTACTCCATGTCCACTGAAGGTAGGAGAAGTAGTAATAGGTTTAATCTGCAGCAAGGGAGTTTTAGGTAAGATATTAGGTAAAGCTGTCTAACTATAAGGATAGCTGATCACTGAAATAGACTTCCAAGGGAGAGGTGGAATCCCCATCTCTGGAGGTTTTTAAGAACAGTTTAGACAAACACCTGTCAGGGATGGTCCAGATTTACAGGAGGCTGGAACAGATGTTCTCCTGAGATCTTTTCCAGCCCTGCATTTCTGTGATTCTATGCCAATTTGGGAATTTTACTCCTACCCCCAGGCAGGTAGTGGCTGGCTTCTATCCTGAAGCATGAGAGCTGAGATTCCTTACACATTTTTTATTCTACCTTGTGTATCAGTGACCTCTTCTATTTTTTTTTCCATTTACATATACAAATGCATGGGTTCCCTGTTGAATTTGTCATTGATTTTAATTATATACTGCAGTTATTCTTGTATATAATATTATATACAAGTGTATAATTAAAATCAATGACAAATTCAACAGGGAACCCATGCATTTGTATGTGTAAATGGGAAAAAAAAATAGAAGAGGTCACTGATACACAAGGTAGAATAAAAAATGTGTAAGGAATCTCAGCTCTCATGCTTCAGGATAGAAGCCAGCCACTACCTGCCTGGGGGTAGGAGTAAAATTCCCAAATTGGCATAGAATTTATAAATTTATAAACATAATTTTATGTGCACATTTGCATACTTTGCTACTCTGGACAGGTATTTTTGTATACAACTATATATATAATAAGACATTGGAATAAAGAGGGGACTTTATGATATCAGATACAATAGGCCAGATTCTTTGGACACACTGAGCTGCTCAAAACTACTCTAAATTATGCTGGCAAGGTAGGTGAGGTAATATCTTTTATTGAATCAAATTTTGTTAGGGAGAGAGACAAGCTTTTGAGATACAAAGAGCTCTTTCTCAGGTCTGGGAAAGGTATGAGGGTATGTCTACACTGCAGTTAGACACCTGTGGCTGGCCCGTGCTCAGGCTCAGGCTAAGGGGCTATTTAATTGTGGCGTAGACATTTGGACTCAGGCTGTAGCCCAAACTCTGGGACCCAGGGAATCACGTGGTTCTAGAGCCCAGGCTCCAGTCTGAGCCCGAATATCTACATCGCAATTAAACAGCCCCTTAGCCTGAGCTCTGCAAACCCGAGGCATGGGCCAGCCACAGATTTTTAATTGCAGTGTAGACCCACCCAGAGTGTCACAGATAAATACGAACAGATAGTTTAACATAAGTAGTTAGCACATATTATAAGGGACCATTCAAGGTGAAGTGGTCTGTTAACACCCTTGTAGTCAGAAGACAAAATGGTGGTTTAGTGGGTTAGCTTGTAATGAGCCATAAATCCAGTATCTTTATTAAGACCATGATTTTTGTATCTAGCAAAGTTATGAATTTAAGTTCCCAGGCTCATCTTTTTAAAGTGTTGTTCAGGTTTCCTTTGAGGATGAGGACTGATAGGTCAGATGTAGAGTGATCATTAAATTATGCTGACAGTAACAGCCCGCTAAAAAATAGTCTGTCATCCAGGCATCACTGGAGCACTGGGTGCTTTGGCCATACCCCCTCCAGTCTGCAATATGCTCCCTACACCAGGGAGATCAGAAGTGGGTGGCGCAGAGGTGGTATAACCATGCTGGGACTTTTGTGTAAGGGATACCTGAAAATTATTCACAGTGCAGAGCAGCTGGAATGGGGGTGGAGGATCTGATCCACTAACACAAAATCCAGTTTTCTGACCTACACCAAAGTTGGTAGGAAATGTTTATGTTGTGGCCATGGAAGATAAGTACTAAGTTTGATTGTTTCCTTCCTTTTTGACTAAATTGGAGGAGGAGGGAAATCTGCCTTCTGGCAGGAGATTTGTTTCAATCTTAACTATGGAGAAACAGCATGTCTCTCCACAAGATAGTCTGTCTGAATTTTCCTTCTTCCACCCCACCTTCCAGTCCCCTCCCCCAAAATTCCTGACTGTAACGAGTGCATGACGCATCTTTGCACTGTGTTGTCATCTCTTTAAATTAACAAGGTACATGTGGTACTGGTCAGCGGGGATAAAAACAGTCCAAATGACATGTGGAGTACAACACTCGGATGGGATCCCAGATAATTAATTACTGTCTCTGGGATTAACAAAAGAAAATTACAGTATTACTCTTCCTGGCAGCTCAAGGAGGATTAAACTCAGTAATTCTGCAGCATTCTCATGCCAAAGTCCCTTGCAATCAGACTGATTCCCAATGCCTTCTAAGGAAGGTTCTGTTAACTTTCCCAAAGCACCTTCATGGCCACCAGCATTGATGGAATATAAAAGAGAGCAAATTAAATATGGACATATAAGATTTCCCTTTTTTGGATGCCGGGCTCTTTGCAACAGCACCTGGGAAATGCCGTTGATTCAGATGGTGAATACTGTTAAGCAACTGTGGCCAAATTCACCCTGAGTTAACATTGGATTCCAGCAGCATAAACCAAAGGACAAATCTACACTGGTGGAGATACTGCCAGGGAGGAGGATGTGGCAGTGCAAAGTTGCCACAGTATCTTTTACTTCTGAGGAACCATTTCCTGTTTGATCATTGTGGAGAACTTTCCAGCTGATCATGGAGACTCAAGGCCACAAACGCGCTTCAGCATGGATTACCCAGGAGATGATGGATCTTATTGCTGTGTGGGGAGAAGAGTCTGTACAGGCAGAGCTCCGATCCAGCAGAAGAAACGCTGACATCTATGCCAAAATCGTGCGGGGCAGGGGGGAGGAGGGCTACAACAGGGACACACAGCAGTGCCACGTGAAAATAAAGGAGCTTCAGGAAGCGTACCAGAAGACAAGGGAGGCAAACGATCATTCTGGTTCTGCCCCACAAACATGCCACTTTTATGAGGAGCTGCATGCGATTCTCAGTGACAACCCCACCACTACCCCAAAACGCTCCGTGGATACCTCCCAGGAACCCCGGTCGAGCTCGAGCAACAACGAGGAGGAGGAGACTGTGAGGCAGGCAAGCGGAGGATCCATTCTCCCCAACAGCCAAGAACTATTTTTAACCCTGGAGCCCATCTCTTCACAGAAGCAGTTAGCAGCGGAGTGTACAGCTGAGCATGGTCCGTGCTTATTGTGCTATGGTGTCTGCATGGGTAACCCAGACTTATGAAAAAAGGTTCGAAAAAGGCTTGGTTTTGTTTGCTATTGATTTCAGGGAGGGAGGGAGGTAAGTGCATCATGGGAGGCTAACACCATGTTCCCGTAACCATCCACACAAATGTTTTGGTCCCTGTGACGGAGTTGAGACTCACCACCTGGCGCCTCCTACTGGTTGTCTCGGGAATTAGCTCTGTCCAGTGGAGCGCCCCTTCTTGGTGGTATCCAGTCCGTCATCTCGCCCTCGGTTGGCATGTCTGGACCCGCGTCGCTCCCAAGCTCGCGGCGTCCTCTTCAAGCCACTGCCCTCCGGCAGTGCCCCTTAGTCCATCCACACAGCCTTCCGGTGGGGGGTTGATCAGCAGTCCTACTATCCAGCCACCATGTCCAACCACACCCTTTGAGTCTAATCCCTTTCGTCAGGGACCTGGCGGGTATATGATGGCTGCTCCCTACGGCCGATGGCTGGGTGTACTGCAAGGGAGGAAAGGGGGGACCCAGGCCTGCCCTCTACTCTGTGTCCCGACCCAGGGACCCTCTGGCGGCAGCCTCACTGTCCTTCTCTCCCCTCGTCTGTCCGCTTCCCTGGGCCGCTTCCCCTACGGCCCCTTGCACCTTGCTAGGCCCTTCCTCTCAGGGCCTGCAGCCTGGCAGACACCGGGCTGGAGTTAGCTTCTGCTCCCCCAGGGCCTGCCCAGCACTGCGCTGTCCTAGGTGCTAACCTCCCCTCCTGGAGACAGACCTTCCCCTGTCGAAGGCCTGGGACAGACTGACTCTCCTCTCCCTGAGCAGCCTTCTTATAGGGCTGAGCCGGGCCCTGATTGGCTCCCAGTAAGCCCTTCTCCCATTGGCTCCCTGTCTGCGCAGGCCCACTG